TGCAAGCTAGTTCCAGTCCATTACCGAGAATACGAATACGGCCCCTTACGTTATACAACAGACCGATGTAGAGCACGTTTCCAAAGTTAGATAGTTCGGTTCAAAGTTTCCATTCTCCAGCCTAGTCCACCAAGTTCAGGCAGTTCTGTGCTATTTTTTGATTGAACAACTAGAAACCAAACACAAACATTTGCCATCATCTTCTAATGTAGGTAAAGTATGAAATGAAAACTACGCGCTTAATTTCGCTGAAGATCGTACTTGCTTAAAAAACTTTCTTGGAACTATCATCAGCTGAATCCACCTGATTTGGCTTTGGAGGCTCGTCAAGAGTGATTCCCAGCATGCGTAAGAACTCATCGTTGTCACCGTCCCCCTGGCGCCGGCCGGCCCTTCTTGGCGGTGACGCTTGCCTCTCCTGACGTTCCGGGGGAGCTGAACTCCGAGAAACGACATAACAAACAATGGTTGTTAAAAACGAGGAGATCAAAAAGAGAAGTGCTATGCAAGCAACTTGTCACAATGAACGGAAAAAATGTATGCACCTTGCGTGCTTGGTGAGTCCTTTTCGCTCTCTGGGAAACGGTCTGCTTGTTTCTCGGAGAACATTATTTAGATCCAGGCCTCCATCGTCATCACCACCACCCAGTCTTAACCAGTTTCCCCCGCCGCCTCCCCACTTGGTTTTGATCCTGAAGACAAAAGCACAGCGACATCAAAAGATGAAACAAACTACGCTCAAAGACGGAGCTCTTTCATTAAAGTAGCTTCAATAAATGTCAAAGGCTAAGTACTTTACTAGAAAGTCAAGGCGTACAGGTTTCATAGTAGATATTAAAAATCATTTAGGGAAGGTTGCTCATCTCTTCTCTGGTAATTTTGTTACAACCTTGAATAAAAGTACAGTAAAAAGGGAAATAAATCCGTACGTTTTGTGCGTTCGTTCCGCATTAATCTAGCCGTGTTAAACGCTTCAAACAAATTATTACGCCTTTTTAAGCTTTTCCGATTTGAAAGAGTCGTCAACGTTTCTTAAAGCTGCCAGATTTTCCTTATTTATCATTCTCTCTCACTATGTGCCCTGCTGTGAGACTTCAACTCGATGTTGACAAAAATAGAGAGGGGCGTAAATGAAGCCTGGCCAGAGCCCCTGTGTTAAGCCCGGAGTAGGGCACTTTACTCTCACACTTCCTCTCTGCACCTCTACGATACTCACGTATAAATGATTGCCAGCGAATTAATGGGCCGAACTGACAAAATGCGAGGGGTAACGCTGCGATAGACTAGCATTCCTGCCAGGGGTGGGGAAAGTAGCAATATTCCTGGCCGCTGTAAGCTAGGCAGGCTGGAGCTAAGTGCCAGCTTTAATGAGCTATTGGCTCGCTCTTGGGTCGATGACTACGATTAGAACCTTCATTTAAACATTGATACTTTGATCGAGTTTGCTACATCTTTCGGGTAAGATATCAAATACGAGAGACAGTGTTTCATCGGGTTTGACGAAATTCGAGGAGCTTGGATAGCCGATGAAACACTCTCTCGATTGTTTGATATATCATATCTTCTCAATTGAAACAAAAACTAAGGAGTAAACGCAGAAGAAAAATCTATGCTAATTAAGACCGGGTATCTAGACCTCCTTCGCGGTTGTGATTTTCTTTGTTTTTACTTGATGAATTATTAATGAGTTTGAGAAGAGTTTGTCTTCTACTGGGATATGAGTGATCATGACTCAAAACAATTTCAAGAGCTTCTAAGTAATATCAGCATGCTTGATTTTTCATCTTTCTTCGACCCTGACACATGAAGTGTATAAGGTATATTAGAACATCGAACAACATTTGGACACGAGACAGTTTCCACTTCCGACCTTTGGTTTCTTCAGTCATTGTCACAGTGCAAACAACAACACAGCAACTAAAACTGCTCTTTATTTACAGAAGCGAACAAGACTTTACGACATGCTCCCTATCATTCTAATGTGGGAAATAAATTTATTTAAACTGACTTATAATTTTTTACATTGCTTAATAAATTAATAAAACCACCTCTGAACTAAGAGTTCCGTGAATAAGTAACTTACATCAATCCCTTCATTTAATCAGTTTTTACATGCAGCCCGACTTCAGACTGCATGTTGTCATTGGTATATACAGAAGGCGTTTATCAACAACAACAACAACAACAACAACAATAAATGTTCTAAATCCTGGAATAGCATCGCCAGATGTACGATTAGTGTAAGGCGCGGTTTCCGAGCCAAGACATGTTCCTCAGTATGTCCATGATAGCGTGTCGAATGTGTCTCATCTTCCAGCAGTAAATTACTGGGTTCAATGATGAGTTAAGATACGCGACCGTCCAAGAATAAAGCCAACATCTCTTGAATTCGATATCGGGACCACTGATGTTACAAACGGCCCAACTGATAAAGTAAGGCAAATAACAAATCAGAAACACAACATATACGTAGAAGGTACCGACTGCAGATTTAATAATTCTAGCAAAATTTGTCATTTCGTCATTCTCTGCTCCTTCTTGTATTTGCAGGGCATGAATCTGGTTCTTGTGGCGTTGTACTGCTACATAAATTCTGATGCAGGCCACTGTTGTAAGGAAAAGACCAATAACTCCAAAAATTAAATTAATACGTGAGTAAACATCGGGTGGAATCCCAAACACCATCCAAGGAAAAAACACACTAAGCAACCATATTGAGATCACAACGGCAACAACACGCTTGTGAGTCACTGGTTCCTGATATCTGAGATGAAGATGAATCGCTAAGAACCTGTCAACACTTATGGCTACAATACAAAAAAGGAGGCAAAAGAAAACACACTTAAAATGGATATGAATACCATATAGATGATACACCCGGGGTTGTTTTGTTGTAACCATGTTACCAGAAGCGAGGTGTAAAATGGGTGATGCAATAAACCAACACCAACATCAGGAGCAGCAAGACTCAGGAGCAATGCCTTCAAAGTCTTTGGCAACGACGACGTTTTTCTTATCGCGTGGATTGTTGCGATGTTCAACATGATTGCGGTAAAGGAAAGAAAAGTGTTCACGATACAATTGCCGATGAAATTTAAACAGGTCTGCAAATTCGAAGACTTTAGGGAAGGAGTGCAGCAGCAATTGACAAGATGATTTCTTCATCGTCTCCGTAGAGCTAGCTTTCTTCAAATTACCGAGCGTTTCACATACAAAAATGTTTCACCAAGAAGACAACAGACAGTTTCCCGGAACAGTTTCCTTTGTCGACGACACGAACCACTTGGCTCACTTAAGGTCATTCCGATGAAATAGAACCTGCACTGAGATTTTTGTGAAACTTTGCCTATCGATTGTTTATATTATAGGAACTTAAATTTTGAAATAAAAATGAGGGGTCCCCAT